TATATTTATACTCCGTAAAAAATTTCATTTAATGCATGATGTTAATCATTACTGATTAAATGTAAAAAACGCTACATCATATGACTTTTGAAGAAGTCGTATAAGTTCTTTATAATTAGAAGGCAAGTAAATTTTTTTTTTTTAGATATGTTTAAGTGGTGTGCTGAAAATCTTTAAGTTCCATACTATTCAAGTATTAAGTCGAGCCAAAAAGCCGGTGTTGAGACAAGGCAATCTTTAAGTTTGTCTGAAACTCAAGTCCTTATGTTTTACAGAATTGAAAAATAAGTTGTGAAATTAAAAGGCGTGATAGTTGAGAATATTAATAAATGTTTGATCCTTCTTAATGAACTACACAATTTTAACTTTTGGGAAGTAGATTAGACATATAAACTTATATATGTACAATTGGACATCATATATGTCCAAATCCAACACTGAATGAAAGCGATGAAAATAAATGAGTCGGTTGTTTTTTGAATGATTCCGTAAGTTTCTTCCAGTAAATTTGTTTTGATCTTTGCTAATTTGCTAATAAAATTTCTGATATTTTTCGAGAGCAGAATATATCTGCACTATTTTCATCATATCATACGAGAATCGAGTTTATCTATCAAAATAGACTACTATAAAATATTGTAAGTTTGAATTTTGAGAGCGTATTCTCTTGTATGAACGAATCATCAGAAGCTAACAATATTTGCTTGGAAATATATATTTATAATTACAAGCTGATAATTTCTCGGAAAACGATTTTTCGGAAATACTCTAGTAGATATAAGAATATGCTCAATCCATCCAAACTCTGTAATCATCGAACATATAACAACTTAAGACCGATTTTGAAAGTAAGCTAATAATCTTATAGCATTTGTGTATATGCTTTTGATATTAGACGTTTTCAGATGAAAACGGTTGCTCTAAGATATTGTAAGAAAATGGAGGTACTTAAGAAAGCAAAGCTATAACCATTAGGTTCACTGAAGCATATAAGTTTGGTACAAAAGAAGCAATACAATATGAAAAGGTGAGTTCCCTTGTTATTGTTTAATATTGATTTTTTTCTTTGCTAGTACTTATTGTTTGCTCATTTAGATAGTATCTGAAGTAAATTTTAAAAGGACTTCAAAATTCATACGTAAAGAATGGTATATTGTTCATAAAGTGCAGAATGTAGAGGACTTAATCAATGAATTAAGTAAGAATCCTACGCATAAATGTCAGATTCTAGCTTATTACAAAATTAATTTCTCTCTTGCATGAAGTAATAGAAAGAACCCTGGTGAGTGATATAATGTATGATATTGAACGTGGAATAACTATATCGGACGAATAAGGGCCTAATAAAATAATACCATGAAGAGAGCTCAATATGATGGGAACGCTTAACCGAACGCTATATCGTATCGAGATTCCCGACTCCCAAGAAAATGCAGGAGGGTGCGGAGTTAGACAATAGATAGGAGGTATAAATTAGATATTGGCTCAACAATGACATATATGGGAATGTTTCCATTAAAATCAAGTCATGAGATTATGATTTGTATTGTGATTTTACTGTCAACGCTTCCATATGATTTATTTTGAGCTCGACATTATATTTTTAGATTCTTTATTATTTTATATTCAACATTTGAATTTTCCAATTTCTGGTTACATTGGATCATTAATTAAATTATTTATTTCGTCTCTTAATTACGATGAATATTCGTCCCGTATCCAGGAATTTTATTGTGTTCATCCACGTATAGCGTATAAATGTTATTCAGTGTAATTGTGATAAATGGTGGTAACCCTTCAGTATATTGGAATGTAATCTAGGTTGAAGAAATTCTTTTTTAGCATCATTATTATGATAGCGTGTGTACGTTATTTGGATAACTTACATTTGTTAGAACGAGGATCGTCTCTCTAGATAGCATTGAATCATATGCTCTGATAACTTTATCTTGAACTAAAGCCTTGATTTCGCCTTCAATAAATGTATAGGTTGAAAAATTGTGATTGGTATTATATTGTTTATTAATATACCAAAAAGTATGATTACCTGTATAATCTCTTAAAGTAAGAACTTGCTTGGTTGAATGAACTTTACTAATCTGTCCTATAATGACTCCTACTTTTCGTGAACATTTCTTTTCTTGAAGAGCTTGCAACGTGCTTGTGATAAATGCTTTGGCTAGATGATGATAATAATAGATTTAACTAATTTAAATTATTAAAATCAGAATCATCAGAAGGGAACTTACGTAAATCAAGTAGTGCTATCTTATTTGACCATTGTTCCTCGGTAATTTTTGATTCATCTTTCAGAAGTTTTTCGCGTTTACTGCGATACTGCGCCATAATGTTATCCAATATCTGCGGTTCATTAGAGATGTCCACCGAATTTGATACTAAAGCTTTCACTTGCGAAGGTGGCTAATTAAAAAAATTTATCATTTACCATTTAGTTTCTATAAAATAGAGAATCATGGAATTATTATTTTTTTTTACCAGAGGAGGAAGACGACTGATTGGTCCTGCAACGCGGTTCCTTGATTCCGTTTGATTAGCAGATTCATTACGAGCCCTTTTTGGGATGTGAAACTGTTCTTCATCTTCCGACAACGACGAAGAAGGTGGTAAATAATTGTTGTCACTATCAACAGATCTTTTTTTACCAAAGACATCATCATTAATCAAAGAATGTTCATATGATTCAGGTATGGAGGATGAAGGTTTTATGAAATGATTTTGGCTCTTCTCGTTAGGTAAAACTGGAATCATGGAAGAAATACGACGTCTTTCCAATGGAAACCTTGATGAGGTTGTACTAGCACCAAGTTTAGCACTTGTCATTGATCGTTGGTATGTACCAGTCATGTCATTCACAGGATATTTATAAATTTTATCAGACACAGCAGCGGAATCAATCAGTTCTTGAACAGACTTATATTTTAATCTATAATCTCCAGATTTAATAATTGGTGGATCTTGAAGAACTGAACGACTTCCAAACATAAAAGTATCAAATGATCGTTGAAATTGACCTCGATCTTCACCTGGCCTTTTAGCAGCTGTAGCAATTATACCAGCTTCTTCGATTTGTTTTGAATACCATCGATTTGGATAAGAATTTGATGGTAATGAAATTCTTTTTTGAGCACTACCATTCATATATTTTTTTTCTAATTCATCATTTGTAACTTTAGATTTTTTCCAATTATCGTTTTTCCTTTGTCTCCATTTACGGTTAAAAGATTTCTTTGATTGTCGGATATCACTTTTTCTTTCTTCCGTTGCTTGATCTGCGAGTTGTACTCTTTTTGATTTGAAATTCTTTGATGGCAACTGGATAACATGAGGTTCTGGTTCTGGTTTGTTCATAATTAAAATATCGTGCGTATTAATAAATGAGAGAAAGAGGGAGAAAGAATGTAAGACATTTTAAAGGGAAGGTGAATTTATATTATTAATAACAAACTATTAAACTACAAACTATTAAGCTATTAACTATTTATAAATATTAAGCTTCTTTGGACGTAAATTAACCGCATAAATTTTCATTGGACCAACTTATTATCAACGTTTAAAACATATGTTCAAGAGTCTTTATTATATCGTATGCAAATTTATTTAGAAGAGGTCCAGTTAATATATTAACTAAACAACCAAGAAGAATTGAAATAAGAATAGTGACAATTTGAAATCTTGATGTATTAAAATAATATAATTATTGATATCATGGAACTATTTCAATAAATAAAAATTTTGAATAATAAAGTTCATCAATTTTAATCAAGAATCTAACATAAAATTATCTAGTATTAGAATATAAAAAAAAAAAAATAAAGAGAATGTTAAACGATTCAAAATCAATTAAATGTTAATAATATATCGAGCTACCAGTATTATTTTAACAATGGAAGCCAGGTAATTTATTTAAACTTTGTCAAGGTATTAAACTTTTTAATTTCATCGCTTTTATAAATAGAATAAAAATTTATCACATTAAAGTAAAGGTTCTGAATTATTTCATTATGATTAAAATCATAGTACTTTTTCGCTACTAGCAGAATGCTAGTACCCAGGTTGCACGACGAGGACGTCAGTACTAATCGCAACCCAAAAATGAAACTCCTCAACCGAGAGAGCCTTTGGGTTTCTATCTAATGCCTTTATTTTTATTTTTTATTTTTTATATTTTATGTTTATACCCCTCTTTCATGCCCAAGTTTTCCTTCTTGGCGGTTTGTTATTCCCAGTTCTGTCCTTCTGGGGCGTTTTGTGTCCAGTTATCTCCTCTGGAAGTTTGGTAACCAGTTTATTCTATCTGGTAGTTTGGCCAGTTTCTATCTGGTCGAAGCTCTTGGACCGTAAAAGGAAGGTACATAACCGGGACCTCCTCCAGAACCAGTAGACCTTTTACAGCTGTTTTTTCAAAGAACT